TGGCATGTATAGCTGATGGTTGAACATGCAGTGGCATGTATAGCTCATGGTTGAACATGTAGTGGCATGTATAGCTCATGGTTGAACATGTACCGGAATGTATAGCTGATTGTTGAACATGTAGTGGCATGTATAGCTGATGGTTGAACATGTAGTGGCATGTATAGCTGATGGTTGAACATGTAGTGGCATGTATAGCTGATGGTTGAATATGTACTGGCATGTATAGCTCATGGTTGAACATGTAGTGGCATGTATAGCTGATGGTTGAACATGTAGTGGCATGTATAGCTGATGGTTGAACATGTAGTGGCATGTATAGCTGATGGTTGAACATGTAGTGGCATGTATAGCTGATGGTTGAACATATAGTGGCATGTATAGCTGATGGTTGAACATGTAGTGGCATGTATAGTTGATGGTTGAACATGTAGTGGCATGTATAGCTGATGGTTGAACATGCACTGGCATGTATAGCTGATGGTTGAACATGTAGTGGCATGTATAGCTGATGGTTGAACATGTAGTGGCATGTATAGCTGATGGTTGAACATGTAGTGGCATGTATAGCTGATTGTTGAACATGTACTGGCATGCATAGCTGATGGTTGAACATGTAGTGGCATGTATAGCTCATGGTTGAACATGTAGTGGCATGTATAGCTCATGGTTGAACATGTAGTGGCATGTATAGCTGATGGTTGAACATGTAGTGGCATGTATAGCTGATGGTTGAATATGTACTGGCATGTATAGCTCATGGTTGAACATGTAGTGGCATGTATAGCTGATGGTTGAACATGTAGTGGCATGTATAGCTCATGGTTGAACATGTAGTGGCATGTATAGCTGATGGTTGAACATGTAGTGGCATGTATAGCTGATGGTTGAACATATAGTGGCATGTATAGCTGATGGTTGAACATGTAGTGGCATGTATAGTTGATGGTTGAACATGTAGTGGCATGTATAGATGATGGTTGAACATGCACTGGCATGTATAGCTGATGGTTGAACATGTAGTGGCATGTATAGCTGATGGTTGAACATGTAGTGGCATGTATAGCTGATGGTTGAACATGTAGTGGCTTGTATAGCTGATTGTTGAACATGTACTGGCATGTATAGCTGATGGTTGAACATGTAGTGGCATGTATAGCTCATGGTTGAACATGTAGTGGCATGTATAGCTGATGGTTGACCATGTAGTGGCATGTATAGCTGATGGTTGAACATGTAGTGGCATGTATAGCTGATGGTTGAACATGTAGTGGCATGTATAGCTCATGGTTGAACATGTAGTGGCATGTATAGCTGATGGTTGAACATGTAGTGGCATGTATAGCTGATGGTTGAACATATAGTGGCATGTATAGCTGATGGTTGAACATGTAGTGGCATGTATAGTTGATGGTTGAACATGTAGTGGCATGTATAGCTGATGGTTGAACATGCACTGGCATGTATAGCTGATGGTTGAACATGTAGTGGCATGTATAGCTGATGGTTGAACATGTAGTGGCATGTATAGCTGATGGTTGAACATATAGTGGCATGTATAGCTGATGGTTGAACATGTAGTGGCATGTATAGTTGATGGTTGAACATGTAGTGGCATGTATAGCTGATGGTTGAACATGCACTGGCATGTATAGCTGATGGTTGAACATGTAGTGGCATGTATAGCTGATGGTTGAACATGTAGTGGCATGTATAGCTGATGGTTGAACATGTAGTGGCATGTATAGCTGATTGTTGAACATGTACTGGCATGCATAGCTGATGGTTGAACATGTAGTGGCATGTATAGCTCATGGTTGAACATGTAGTGGCATGTATAGCTGATGGTTGAACATGTAGTGGCATGTATAGCTGATGGTTGAATATGTACTGGCATGTATAGCTCATGGTTGAACATGTAGTGGCATGTATAGCTGATGGTTGAACATGTAGTGGCATGTATAGCTCATGGTTGAACATGTAGTGGCATGTATAGCTGATGGTTGAACATGTAGTGGCATGTATAGCTGATGGTTGAACATATAGTGGCATGTATAGCTGATGGTTGAACATGTAGTGGCATGTATAGTTGATGGTTGAACATGTAGTGGCATGTATAGATGATGGTTGAACATGCACTGGCATGTATAGCTGATGGTTGAACATGTAGTGGCATGTATAGCTGATGGTTGAACATGTAGTGGCATGTATAGCTGATGGTTGAACATGTAGTGGCTTGTATAGCTGATTGTTGAACATGTACTGGCATGTATAGCTGATGGTTGAACATGTAGTGGCATGTATAGCTGATGGTTGAACATGTAGTGGCATGTATAGCTGATGGTTGACCATGTAGTGGCATGTATAGCTGATGGTTGAACATGTAGTGGCATGTATAGCTGATGGTTGAACATGTAGTGGCATGTATAGCTCATGGTTGAACATGTAGTGGCATGTATAGCTGATGGTTGAACATGTAGTGGCATGTATAGCTGATGGTTGAACATATAGTGGCATGTATAGCTGATGGTTGAACATGTAGTGGCATGTATAGTTGATGGTTGAACATGTAGTGGCATGTATAGCTGATGGTTGAACATGCACTGGCATGTATAGCTGATGGTTGAACATGTAGTGGCATGTATAGCTGATGGTTGAACATGTAGTGGCATGTATAGCTGATGGTTGAACATGTAGTGGCTTGTATAGCTGATTGTTGAACATGTACTGGCATGCATAGCTGATGGTTGAACATGTAGTGGCATGTATAGCTCACGGTTGAACATGTAGTGGCATGTATAGCTGACGGTTGAACATGTAGTGGCATGTATAGCTGACGGTTGAACATGTAGTGGCATGTATAGCTGATGGTTGAACATGTAGTGGCATGTATAGATGATGGCGGAACATGTAGTGGCATGTATAGTTGATGGTTGAACATGTAGTGGCATGTATAGCTGATGGTTGAACATGTAGTGGCATGTATAGCTCATGGTTGAACATGTACCGGAATGTATAGCTGATGGTTGAACATGTAGTGGCATGTATAGCTGATGGTTGAACATGTAGTGGCATGTATAGCTGATTGTTGAACATGTAGTGGCATGTATAGCTGATGGTTGAACATGCAGTGGCATGTATAGCTCATGGTTGAACATGTAGTGGCATGTATAGCTCATGGTTGAACATGTACCGGAATGTATAGCTGATTGTTGAACACGTAGTGGCATGTATAGCTGATGGTTGAACATGTAGTGGCATGTATAGCTGATGGTTGAACATGTAGTGGCATGTATAGCTGATGGTTGAACATGTACTGGCATGTATAGCTGATGGTTGAACATGTAGTGGCATGTACAGCTGATGGTTGAACATGTAGTGGCATGTATAGCTGATGGTTGAACATGTAGTGGCATGTATAGCTCATGGTTGAACATGTAGTGGCATGTATAGCTGATGGTTGAACATGTAGTGGCATGTATAGCTGATGGTTGAACATGTAGTGGCATGTATAGCTCATGGTTGAACATGTAGTGGCATGTATAGCTGATGGTTGAACATGTAGTGGCATGTATAGCTCATGGTTGAACATGTAGTGGCATGTATAGCTGATGGTTGAACATGCACTGGCATGTATAGATGATGGTTGAACATGTAGTGGCATGTATAGCTGATGGTTGAACATGTAGTGGCATGTATAGCTCATGGTTGAACATGTAGTGGCATGTATAGTTGATGGTTGAACATGTACTGGCATGTATAGATGATGGTTGAACATGTAGTGGCATGTATAGCTGATGGTTGAACATGTAGTGGCATGTATAGCTGATGGTTGAACATGTAGTGGCATGTATAGCTGACGGTTGAACATGTAGTGACATGTATAGCTGATGGTTGAACATGTAGTTGCATGTATAGTTGATGGTTGAACATGTAGTGGCATGTAAAGCTGACGGTTGAACATGTAGTGGCATGTATAGCTGACGGTTGAACATGTAGTGGCATGTATAGCTGATGGTTGAACATGTATTTGCATGTATAGCTGATGGTTGAACATGAAGTGGCATGTATAGCTCATGGTTGAACATGTAGTGGCATGTATAGTTGATGGCCGAACATGTAGTGGCATGTATAGCTGATGGTTGAACATGTAGTGGCATGTATAGCTCATGGTTGAACATGTAGTGGCATGTATAGTTGATGGCCGAACATGTAGTGGCATGTATAGCTGATGGTTGAACATGTAGTGGCATGTATAGTTGATGGTTGAACATGTAGTGGCATGTAAAGCTGACGGTTGAACATGTAGTGGCATGTATAGCTGATGGTTGAACATGTAGTGGCATGTATAGCTGATGGTTGAACATGAAGTGGCATGTATAGCTCATGGTTGAACATGTAGTGGCATGTATAGTTGATGGCTGAACATGTAGTGGCATGTATAGTTGATGGCTGAACATGTAGTGGCATGTATAGTTGATGGTTGAACATGTAGTGGCATGTATAGCTCATGGTTGAACATGTAGTGGCATGTACAGCTGATGGCAGAACATGTAGTGGCATGTATAGCTCATGGTTGAACATGTAGTGGGATGTATAGCTGATGGCTGAACATGTAGTGGCATGTATAGCTGATGGTTGAACCTGCTGTAATCCTGAAGTGAACTTTGCATTTCGTACAGACCGAGCTGAACGAAGAACTGGCTGGAGAACTGATCAGTCATTACGTATAGACTATACACGCATCTATCGCGATTCACAACAACAGCCTTGACAGTGATGGCTGTACGCGAAGCCCCGAGTTATTATAAGCTGCAGTTCTAGTGTACAGTGCTACACAAACAAATACAGAGGGTAAGTACTACCTACACGTTCACAGCCATCCGTCGGAGGGTTTCACAGGCATTTGCCCGAGTCATACAGACATGCCCCTTTCACCTGTTCACTACCCTGTTATCTTCACCTGTCCAACTAATCGCCAAGTAAGTAGAAGGTCTTACCTTTGACTTGAGCACTGGTGGAGTCGGGCGGGAACACGGAGCGTGCTGCCTCTTCCAGGAGCTATCGTCCCTCAGTCGCACCTTGTAGTTATACCTTTGCCAGTTCATAGTGTCTTCATTGGAATATCACCATACACCGTTACGAAGCTGGCAGTTGTCGTGCATTCCTTACTCAGTTTTCTTTTCGCATTATATGCTTGTTTTCATTAATGTTGACTGAGAACACGTTCGGGTCCTGGCACTGGAGCTATAGGACGGAACTCGGGTTCCCGTCCCTCTACCTAATTAGCAACAGTGGCCTTTGTTTTGGGGGCATCAGGGTTAATGAATGGTATGGCGTAGATCGTTCTCTCTGCAGCTGTGATTGGGGTGTTCTGGGGACGGTGCCTGCGATTGCACGTGCAGGAAACCGAGAGAGATATAGGGAAGCTTTATCTCTTGAAACTCGTTTATCGTTCTGTCTGCCGCGTATTAAATAAGCAATAAGACGACCCGAAGAAAGCTCCAATTCCTTGTCCATGTGATAATATCATCAGCGTTGAAATCCCATCCCACATGTGTTTGAATTCAGTCGTTGAACTTTAGAATCCTGTAACGATTTAAGCACTAGTTATATTCATTCATTTTCAATTGTATCCTTTTGTTGAACTGGTCATTAATATTTTTGTTATCCTTCGAACTTTAATCCACTTGTTGCCAATGTGTATATTTTGACAAACGTATTTTGTCAAACAATAGCATGACATATTTCAAAAAGGTATGTTCAAGGGTTGTTAATCCGAGCTTCGATCCCTCAGAACTGAGGGTTTAGACGACGAGTTATAATCCAATTATTGTGGCTACAAAAACCCCAACCTCTGCTCCAGAAGGTGAGCGCTGTAAACACCGACGAAAAAAACAAACAACTTAAGTCTCCCGCATTCACTTTTAACAGCACGAGGCTCACCCCTGTAAACAGTACACTATTTGACGAGTCGTTTCCTTCTTATTTCAATACTTGTGAAACCAGCTTGAAATTCTTCAATGTGAAAACTTCCGAGAAAGTCGACGCTCATCGAAATATTTCCTCTTTCTCGAGAGCATCCCCCGCTCCGACTCCGATAGCCAGCCATCCCTCCGACCCGGTGTGCCGCGACGTGCTATTCGGCCCCTCCCTCCCTCGCGTTATTCCGCCAGCTCGTAGGGATACATTTCATATTTTCTTTGGGAGGGGGCCCGATTGACGTTGTGCGTATATACAGTGCTAATTTTACGAGGCAGTAGGAGGCAACTGTGTGTTTATTATGCTCGCCAGTCCAAGTAATTTCGGTGAGTGAAAGACACGAGTAAATCTCAGCCAATGATTAAACGATACCACGAGGGGCAAACAGACTAGGATGCTAAGGATGATGCATCAATGTCGTATTAGGTATAAAAAAAACACGGGCGTTACTACACTTGCAAGTTCTCGGTTAACGAATGTCAATTTTCACTTTTTTCTGAATTATAAATATAAATATTCCGAAAGCACAAGCATCAGCACCTAAAGTCCTGACATTTACAACCTATGCAGACTTGAAAACCTAACTGGAGCACGTATAATAACAATGATAACGGACTTGAAGTAATGTTTTGTCCGTGATTTTATCAAGAAGATGCAGCTTTCAACACCAGCTTTTAAGTTGACAATTGAGCTATTAAGCGTGTGTTCATGATGTGAATGAAAGAACCTTTAGTTTCGTGTATTCAGCATCTGTTGGTGTTCTTGCTGTTATTGTTGTTATTGCAGCTGTTGTCTTTGGTGTTGGTGGTGTTGGTAACATTATTACTGCTGTTGTTGTCGATAACAATAGTGAGTGAGTATGGTTTTACGCCGCTTTTAGAAATATTCCAGCAATATCACGGCGGGGGACACCACAAATGGGCTTCACACATTGTACCCATGTCGGGAATTGAACCCGGGTCTTCGTCGTGACGAGCGAACGCTTAAACCACGAGGCTACCCGACCGCCCCCGATAACAATAGTATTGTTGTTGGGTAATGCTATAGTCATCCCTGACAGTCAGTAGGAAGTATGATGCGATGTCTCCCCAACTCCCCACCAACCACCACCTGAAATATATTGCAAGTATTTGTTCCCGCGTACAATTCATGTATCCTGTCCCTCCCCGAGCCCCCCCCCCCCCCCCCCCCCCCCTTGAAAACAACAACAACAACAACAACAACAAAACAAAAACAAAAACAACTTTTTAATGTAGTCCCATCAGCAAATCCTTCCTTAAGACACCTGACAGTTTCACAAGGTAGAACATATATGTGTGTGAAAGTTCCTGTACGGCCGGAACAATCAGTGTGATTGGAACCGAAACTTGACCCGATATGCACCTCCAAAGGAACAAATGTTGGTTGTGAAAGCTCCTGAACTTATATACCCATACGGGGCGATGGGTGACATTGTTGATAAAGGGTTCGCTCGTCACGCCGAAGACCCGGGTTCGATTCCCCCACATGGGTACAATTTGGAAGCCCATTTCTGGTGTCCTCCGCCGTGATATTGCTGGAATATTGCTAAAAGCGGCGTAAATCCATATTCACTCACTTATATACCAATGAATCTAAACACCCGACTCCCCCTTCACTGCCCTGAATCATGCACGGCCTTGCATTTCAACCGTCGTCAAAACATCAGTCAGAGCCCACATTCCTACGGCTACGGTATCGGACATTTGCAACATGGAAGAAATCACGTGACCCCGGAATTCCCCCGACGAGCAGACGATAGCTACAACCGCCAGCTGTACGTGGCCAGCTGAAGTCTCAGCATCCAACCCCCCAACCCCTCACCCCCCTGCTCTCTCTCATCCTCACACAGATTGGATCTTTTCGTTTCTTACGTAATTTGATCCGGTTGGTATTTGTGTGTGACTAAGTGTCCGCCTTCATCACACTCGTGTGTTTGTTCTCAGTAGTCAGGTAAAACGAGGTGAACGGTGGTGTAATCATACTGATTAGGGATGCTCTGAGTTAGATAACGCGCTAATGTGGTATAGTTACGCAGAGGGATCTATAAAACTCGAGTAAAAGAGTATGTTGGAATGAGTGAGGTTTTACGCCGCTTTTAGCAATATTCCATCAATATCACGACGGAGAACACCAGAAATGCGCTTCACACATTGTACCCATGTCAGGAATCGAACCCGGGTCTTCGTCGTGACGAACGAACGCTTAAACCACGAGGCTACCCGACCGCCCCAGAGTCTGTTGGATGATTGTTAGTCTGTCTTATAGACCCTGATACAAATATATATCAAATACAGCCCATGCAAGTCTATAATGTTTGGCAAGTCTAGATTCCTGCAGAGTCACTGGGCTCCCTTTTATTATATTTTTATTAAGGTAACTGAACAACTGTTTTTTCTGTACGATATGTTCATTTCAAGGACCAGATGTTAGTCTAGATGATTGTAGACACTAATTATCGAGAAAGGATCAGTTCCAGCCTCGCAGGGAAACGAACCAGCGTCTTTGGCGTAGAAACACCATGAACCAGGAGACCACGTTACCGAATTTATTCTTAAATGGAACAAATATGTCTCATGGAAGACACGTTTGGGTGTATAAGCTGCGACAACACAGTGAGTGCTTGTATGGTTCAATGTTGAACGTGAATCTTCACAACGTTGAAAGGGGAAAGCTGAGCTAGATTTCTGATTTCTCGCATTTTTGTTTTCTGATGAGATACACATTATGAGTCATGCAAAAACAAGTTGTCCTTATCTTATTTTGTTGAGCATGTGTTAGACTAACAACTAGTCTGAAATGAACAAATATTTCCGAAAAAACAGTTGTTTAATTATCTTAATAAAAATATAATCAAAAGGAGCCCGTAGACTTTTCATTTTCATACTGCAGTAACCTAGACTTGCCAAACAATATAGACTTGCATGGGCTGTATTGGATATATTTGTATCAGGGTCTGTATGACTGACTGAGTATGCGTGTCTGTAAACATCCGCGATTCCTTGCCTCCTGTCTTATTTCTATAAGGTCAGTGATGACTAAATCGTATCTATTTCAGAATTTCTATCGGAAGGAAAAAGAGAAAACTCATGTTTTTAACTTCAGTTTCGTTTTCTCGTTTTAGCGAGATAGAATTATTTAAAATAAATACAATATACTACCATAAAAACAGGGAAACTATTGCACTAATATAATAATAAGGCCTTATACCGTTAAGCGTATATCAACATCAGAACCCGAGAAGATCCGGGTAGAATAGGTCTTCTGAAATCCATGCTTGCCGTAAAAGGCGACTGTGCTTGTCGTAAGAGGCGACTAACGGGATCGGATGGTCAGGCTTGCTGACTTGGTTGATGCATGTCATCGATCCCAATTGCGTGGATCGATGCTCATGATGTTAATCACTGGATTGTCTGGTCCATGCTCAATTATTTACAGACCGCCGTCATGTAGGTTGAATATTGCTGAGCGCGGCGTTAAACAACAAACAAACAACTGTGTGTGTTGCAGTGTTGTGGAGGAACACATTGAATTATGTGACGAACCTTCGCTCAAAGGGAAGTAACTGCATGCCAAATACAGCTTCGTTCAATACATTTTAGAGCAGGGTTTGTTTGACGGTTGAACAGGCTTGATTGCGGTGGACAATGCCCTGTGGGAGTTCTTCTGTACAGCTGTGAGGTCTAGGCCGATCTGTGAAACCTTTACTATACAACTTGTGGCCAAGACCGATCTGTGAAACCTTTACTATACAACTTGTGGCCAAGGCCGATCTGTGAAACCTTTACTATACAACTTGTGGCCAAGGCCGATCTGTGAAACCTTTACTATACAACTTGTGGCCAAGGCCGATCTGTGAAACCTTTACTATACAACTTGTGGCCAAGACCGATCTGTGAAACCTTTACTATACAACTTGTGGCCAAGACCGATCTGTGAAACCTTTACTATACAACTTGTGGCCAAGGCCGATCTGTGAAACCTTTACTATACAACTTGTGGCCAAGGCCGATCTGTGAAACCTTTACTATACAACTTGTGGCCAAGGCCGATCTGTGAAACCTTTACTATACAACTTGTGGCTAAGGCCGATCTGTGTGACTTTTACGATTTTACTATACATCTGTTGAACTGTTTGGTCTAGACCGATCTGTGAAGTCTACTATCTTACTATATAACTTGTAGTATGTGTGGTCTAGATGGATATGTGGGACTTCTGCTATCTTACTGTACAACTGTTGAACTGTGTGGTCTAGACCGATGTGCGTGACGTCTACTATCTTACTATACAACTGTTGAACTGTGTGGTCTAGACCGATGTATGTGACCCTTCCTATGAAACTTTGACGAGTAGGCAGGTAATATATGGAACTTTAAATTCAATAATATATGCATTAAGAAACGGACCATTTTGGTATTTTTAGGAGGTATTTTTCTTTCTAAGCAAGTTAATATTATACGTCATGTAATTTGGCATTGTGGTCTTTGCTTTATCCAAAAGAGAAACTGATATTTCTGTATTTCTCCCTGTCTCCTCTCCAAGGAGGCAATACTAAACTGGAGGGAGTGATGTAACCACCTAACTCAATAGCGAAGCGGGAAATGACCCACATTGGACAATACAAGAGTATGGTTGGACATATTGAATTACTTTCAATGCGCAGAATAGGTTGTACGCAGTTTACACACGGATTACCAGCTTTTCTAATTTGACACGGACTGGATGAGACAAAATACAGTAAGTATATTATAAATTCAATAGGTGTGACCTTGTTTGTCTCTGATGACATCCTCATCAACATACTCTGACCGTTTGCACAAGCAATCTGTCTGTGAGGACACTGACTTGTAAACAGTGAAGCCATGTTTATATGGACGTACGTATGTGGTGTCCCTAGCTGTGATATTGCTGGAATATTGCTAAAAGCGCACACGCACGCACAGACACACACACACATACGTTTCCTACAATCTATACTACGTTAAACAAGTATGGGAACACCCACTATTTAGCATATATTTCAGTAAAAGTAAAATTTACTGTACAGTCATGAAGTGATAATGAAGTCAGTCGGAGTCGGTATACTGTGTCTGAGTGGGGTATTCATGTTAAACTGCGGCATGGTATCTCAGTGAGCTAGCTCTATAAATCGGCATCAGTCCGTACTAGTACAAGCAGCCACACAAACACACACACGAACATGCACGTCGCTATATAAGGGCAATAATCTTGGACGCGACGTTAAAGCCCATTTCACCTCACCTCACCTCTTTATGATTTCGTCTCTCTACGCCATTGGAACTGGTGCAATGTTTCAGGATGATTCTGCCAGGCCACAGCGGCCACGTGTTGTCACAGACTTTCTCACTCAGAGGGGCGTTTGGCGAATGCAGTGACCAGCATATTCCCCTGACCTCGCCCCAAATTTAACTTGTTTGGGGCATTTTGGGACAACGTGTTCGCGATAGCCATACTCCGCCTGCAAACCTGAAACAGCTCCTCGGATTCCTTTAGCAAATGTGACTGAGTATGGTTTTACGCCGCTTTTAACAATATTCCAGTAACATCACGCCGGGAGACCAGAAATGGGCTTCACACGTGTTGGGAATCGAACCTGGGTCTTCGGGGTGACGAGCGAACGTTTTAACCACTTGGCTACCCCACCGCCCCTCCTTCAGCAGGAATCCCAGGCAATGCCGCGGGCTACATTGCGGGCACATGTCATGATCAGGTCAATCAGAGCTCGATGTGGAAAGTGCGTCAGGTACCGGGGCGGTCACACCCATTATTGACTGTATGTACTGGCGTGTGACTTTTCAAAATGACCCCTCACACTTTCCGCTCAACATAGGAATATTAATCGATTTGTTTACTGATGTCTGGTCAGAAAGATACATCCATTAAATGCCACTATCTCAAACTACCCAGCGTATTCTGGTTGTCTTTGAGATATGATGGAAATATAATGAGTGAGTGAGTATGGTTTTACGCCGCTTTTAGCAATATCACGGCGGGGGACACCAGAAATGGGCTTCATGCTGTACCCATGTCAGGAATCGACGTCTTCGGCATGACGAGCGAACACTTTAACCACTAGGCTACCCGACCGCCCCTGGAAATATGGGGTGTTTCAACATTTGTTTGACGTCGTATAGTAAATCTAGTACATCTCCGCCCCATGTATCTTAATGGTTATGTAATTATATCCACTGAATAAAAGATAAAAGGCGCTACAGGTTGAATATACTTCTTATATATAACATTGTTTTTGTTATTGTGTTTGTGTGTGTTTCAGGAAATCAAAACTATAACCTACAGAAAGTCCGACTGACAGGGAATAGAATGTGTGACTAATCATAACCTGACACAACTCCGGATGCAATGAATCAGGCACAGCCTGAATTGTGGGGCAAAATAGGTTCCTCATCAGTTCACGGTTCAAAAACACACTCAACGTGTGCACATATTTCCAGTGAGTAGTATAAACAGATGAGCACAATGGAAGATAGCCCAGATGAGAGTGATGACGATATTGCCCAGATCCACATCCACCTCCCCTGGGTGCCCTCCGCAAGGACAGCAGCAAGTCCCTTCCTTGCCGCCGCAGAACTTACCGGCATCAAAAGAAGATGGTCTAAAAGTGACAGATGTTGCATACACCACATGCCATCTCCATATGAACCAGAAAGTCGAGATTCATTAGTACCAAGCATTGGTCAAACTACATCGGATGGGACACCTGCAGGAACAGACCCACCTGCACCAAGTTTTTATCAAACTTCATCGCATGGGGCACCTGCAGGAAGAGACTCACCTGTACCAAGCATTGATCAAACCACATCGGACGGGGCACCTGCAGGAAAAGACGCACCTGTGCCAAGCATTGATCAAACCACATCGGACGGGGCACCTGCAGGAACAGACGCACTTGTACCAAGCATTGATCACCCCACATCGCGCAGGGCACCTGCAGGAACAGACGCACTTGTACCAAGCATTGATCACCCCACATCGCGCAGGGCACCTGCAGGAACAGACGCACTTGTACCAAGCATTGATCAAACCACATCGCGCAGGGCACCTGCAGGAACAGACGCACTTGTACCAAGCATTGATCACCCCACATCGCGCAGGGCACCTGCAGGAACAGACGCACTTGTACCAAGCATTGATCAAACCACATCGGACGGGTCACCTGCAGGAACAGACGCACTTGTACCAAACATTGATCAAACCACATCGCACGGGGCACCTGCAGTAAGAGACGCACTTGTACCAAGCATTGATCAAACCACATCGCACGGGGCACCTGCAGTAAGAGACGCACCTGAGTCAAGCGTTGATCAAACCACATCGCACGGGACACCTGCAGGAAGAGACGCACTTGTACCAAGCATTGATCAAACCACATCGCGCGGGGCACCTGCAGGAAGAGATGCACTTGTACCAAGCATTGATCAAACCACATTGGACGGGGCACCTGCAGTAAGAGACGCACCTGTACCAAGCATTGATCAAACCACGTCATATGGGACACCTGCAGTAAGAGACGCACCTGAATCAAGCGTTGATCAAACCATCTCATATGGGACACCTGCGGAAAGAGACGCACCTGAATCAAGCGTTGATCAAACCACGTCATATGGGACACCTGCAGTAAAAGACGCACCTGAATCAAGCGTTGATCAAACCACGTCATATGGGACACCTGCAGAAAGAGACGCACCTAAATCAAGCATTGATCAAACGACATCGCACGGGGCACCTGCCGGAAGAGCTGCAAGTGACTCAAGCGTTGATCAACAAACGTCATTTTCAACGCCTGTAGATGGAGACGGGCCTCTATTACCCGTTCAGAACACATCTCACGGCACAACGGAGGATACCCATCCTCCTCGCAGAAGAGAGACGCTGGACGCAGGGGCCATGTCGCACAAAGGATGGATGTCTCATGCAACAGACCAAGATGTTGTTGCTACGCCATCACAAGAACAAGGTAGAGTTGGCGATTTAATTTCTTTGTACATCTAAATTATTATGTTACAAATCCATGTGATGTGATGCTAGACATCAGTGGCACATAACTGAATAGCCCTGTGGGGATTCCTAATAGGATTAGAATAGGCTTATGTTCGTCGTAAGATCTAGTGGTAACCACTTGGGTCCGGTGATTAGACTCTGTGACTTGGTGTCATAGTACCCTGACGACGTGGATCGTTGTTCATAAAGTCAGTAACCGGATTGTCCAAACTTGTATATTTAAAGTTGAATGTTTCTGAGTGAGGCTTCAAAAAAACAACAACAAAAAACGAATATTCTTTTTATTTACATGTGTCTAATTTACAGGTTTGACTGTCAATGTTTACAACATCACGAACAGTGAGGGAATACATGTCACCCAGGAACGGATCGTGTCGAAAGGAAAACTTTTCGGTAAGTGATAAAATAGGACTTCACTTTTAGGCAGCTTCACGTGGCAAATCGTCCAAATTGAGATCAATGAGCTAAGCTGGCGTGCAACAGAAAGAAGTATCTGTTGCAAAAAGAACTAGTCACTATACAATCTCATTAAAATGAGATCTTAGTTTTCGCTACCGCTTAACAAAGATCTGAGGACATCCCTTTACTGGTCACGTCAAAACGACCTTTCGCGAACTTTCACCGACCAATGAAATGACTGACAAGAAATCGTCATTAGCCAATCAGAAGGCAGCTTTCTCGAGCTTTACGACACTAGTTTCAAATGGCGACTACGTTTCGAAACATATTTTGACGTATTCTCGATTAATTCTCTTTAGACTGATCAAAAGATCATTCTGGAATGGCTTAAAGTTGGTCTGGATTGTATGGATATAATCATAAAACCCGTGACTGTCGTTCGGAATACCCTCTATTAAATATTTCGAGGTTGCATAATTAGAAAACACATTCTGACTGTCACTTTCATGATCTGGTAACCGACGCTCTGATTGGTTGGATGAAAGGTCGTTCTGACGTGACCCGTAATGTTATGTCCTCAGATCTTTGTTTAGCGGTAGCGAGAACTAAGATCTGATTTGAATGAGATTGGTCACTATACAATCCCTCCCTCCGTTATATTGTCCTTCTCCCCACATCTTGACAAGAAGAAGAAAATGTATTTTGACCCAATCAGGAAATTCGCCCTTCATGCCAAAGGTAAAGCCTATTACTGGTCTCCATGGTGATATATATGACAACTTACTTACCCTAACTCTTCCTCGTCAGAACCTGACGTTTCTCCATCAGCAGCACCAGTCGGCCATGTCATGACTACAAGGTGGATTCAGAAGAACAACCCATCTGTACAGTCCAGAACAGATACACACATGCCACACTGTTCCAACTCTAAATCACAGTTGAAGGGGCAACAGTTACACCAAGTTAAAATGGAAGGTAATCACTTGCTGTTGTTCTTCATAGCATTTCGAGATGGGTTGTGGATTCGAGGGAGTGAAAGCTTCCTCTGATGGACCGACCATTTGGTATTCCGGGGAGAGCCTGGGATTTTATCCAAAATAAATTGTTCCAGAAAAGATTCTTGAAAAGATATTTATGCTTTAGACTGATCAACAAAAGAGTATTTGCTGCCATAAGAATTTTAATGGTTGTGTTTTTCTTTTAAAAAATATATTCAGGATAATGGTTTTAATAACAAAAAAGTCTCCTATTACTGCTGAGCACCATGCAGAGTAACAAGAAGTACCTTCTTTCAACGTCTTTTTTGTGGTACACGTCCAGTGATCGGACTCACCATCCTTCTGCTGTCCAGGAAGCGTTCTGTTGTGGTGTTTGTATTTGTCGGATTACTTACAATAGTTTTTTCGTAGAATATATCTTAAGGATGCTATTGTATGTTTCAGATACCAGTCGTTCGCCAAAACTGAAGCGGATATCTGGTAAGTATATTTATCATTCAATATTTGCTGCCACTGGAGATATGTCTTGGGTGAGTTCAAGTGATCGCCTATGAGATACCGGTGCAATGAAATCGCATAACAATGCTTTGAAAATCATTATGATGTCACTGGTTACCATGATGTCACAATCAAATGACATCACTAATCTCTCAGCTACTGAAGCTGGTTAACAGCACTTTTTTACACTCAATGACATAGCACTGCTTATGATTCTAACTTAGACTTAGTACGAGGGCTGGTCAAAAAGAGTAAGGAACAGTCATCAAGTTTTGGACTTTAGAGAAAAGTACTCCCTAAGAAATTCATGAGCGCATGTCAAAAGTTTACGGGCATAAGTGTCATAGCTATTCCACTGTTAAACGTTGGGCAGCTATGTTAAAGACAGGGAGAACGAGCCTTGATGATGATCTTAGGTCTGGACGACCTTCAACTTCCATCAATGAATATTCAATCAAGGAGGAAGAAAAACTTATAGTCAGATAGATGTATAAACCATTGCTGAACGTGAGGAAAACGCAGGTCTAAACCATGGATCCATTGAAACTATTATTCATGAACATTTACAGCTGAATAAGCTATCTGCTCGTTGGTTGCCAAAGTTTCTAAATTCTGGTCTTAAGGAAAAAGAACTGACATTGCCATAGAAAATTAAGAGCTTTTGAGTAGGATTTTGTCAAATTCGAAAAGTGATTAGTAACGGGGGATGAAACATGGGGTTACCATTATGATCCCGAGTCAAAACGTCAACCCATGGAATGGCACCATTCCACTTCTCTGGCACCAAAAATCGTCAAAATCAGTGATGAAACTTATGGCCACTATTCTGGGATGTAAAGGGTGTGATTCTTGTTGAATACTTAGAAAGTCAAAAGACTATTACCAGTGCCTACTTTGCTGATATGCTTCATCACCTGAGAGATTCTGTCAAAGAAAAGCGGTGTCGAGTGCTGACTGCTGGAGTTCTACCATTTCATGACAATGCCTCTTCTCACACCTCTCCACTTGCAAAGGCTGCTGTGCGACAATGTGGGTTCAAAGAGCTTCCTCACCCTCCATACTCACCAGACCTGGCTCCAAGTGATTTCCTACTGTTTTCTAAACTGAAAGAACACATTCGTGGAAAGCACTATGACGACAACAATGACCTCGAAGCTGCTGTGGATGGGTTTTTCAGGGTGGCTTCAGAAAACCTCTCCCTGACTGGAATTGAAAAGCTTCACTATCGATATGAGAAGTGTACTGAAAGCAGGAAGATTATGTTGAAAAAAAATTCATCACACTTTCACAATTGTTGGTTTTGCTGGTTAGGCTTAGAACTTTTTGACCAGCCCTCGTAGTATTGGAAATAGAACCAATAAAGCAGCCGAGTCAGAAACATGAATAAATATTTTTATTTTCATACTTCAATAAACCGTGTTGTCCTGTTTCAGATAGAACACAACAACTATTACTGCTGACAGAGAAGGAGCTGTTCACGCCGACAAAGGCACTGGCAATAGCCAAGCGGTCCCTTTTGGAACTCGGTGTAGTGCTTGTCACAGGAAGGTCAGGGGATGGGAAGACAACTCTGTGTTATAGAGTTCTGAAGGACATAGCAAATATTCAACATAGAACCCCTCTCATCATCACCACAGCAGATGACTGGAAATATATACCACCCCCAAGACACGTAAATAACATTTCTGAAGAGGAAAAGTATGTGGTTTTCATTGATGACATATTTGGTCGAACTAATTTATCAAGGGAGGATCTTAGAATGTGGGAACGAGAACTGCCGATAATGTGGCCTTCAGTTGAATCTGGGCAGGTGTTTCTGCTGCTCTCATCAAGGGGAAACATTTACAAACAGTGTCAGCAAGGTCTAAAAACTTACAAAATATTTTCTGCATTGAAAGAAGTAGGGTTAAACACGGACATATATGGTCTCAATGTGAAGGAAAAAATGGAAATGCTAGAAGCATATCTGAACAGAAGAACAGCACTGAAGATGACTTATGATGAGATGAGACAAGCTGTGAAGACAAGCAATGAGCTAGGTTTCCCACAAATATGCAGGTTTTACATCAGCAGCAGAGAAGCCCAGAAACGAGGAGTCGAGTTCTTCAGTAGACCGTTACAGTATCTGATGGATGAGGTAAACACTCTCAGGGAGTTTGATCCCCAAGCCTACGGAGTATTATTGCTTCTTGCGTTTGAGGAAGGTGTTATCAAACAATCCCATGTTGACCCATTTTCCTCAAAATGTGGCCCTCTCATCAAGAATTGGGAACTGATCAGATCTCTATGCAACATAAGCCCAGAATTTGGGCTTGGTGATGTTTGTAACGTTGCCAAAAGATTATGTGGTATGTATTTGTCCTTTGTTGGCGGATATTACAGATTTAGCCACCAATCCATCCATGAGACTATTGTCTTGGAGTTCACATCAAAGTACCCAGGAAAGGGTATAGAAATTGCTCCAATTAACATTATTGTGGAATTTGTCAGGACAGCTGAATGTGAAGACAAAACTGCCACATCTATTCTTCTCAGTGAGGATTACTACAAAGATTTTGCAGTCAGGATAATTCAACTACTCAAATCCAGAAATTCTGAAAAAGTCATGGACCATTCCGTTCTAAGGAATGATACATTTCTTCGGTACTTCCATAGTGCGCTCTCCGAGGATGACCGAAAAACTTTATGCTCCACAACCGTACCTTCAACATACACCAACATAGGGGCATATTCAGTGTTTTCAAATGATTACATTACAGCTAACCACCAAGACAAGTTGGAATATGTCATCTCTGAAATGCAGGCCATACAGCTTCCTGTTCCAGAGCTGTATATAATGTCAGTACTGTTCGCTAAAGGTCTACAGTCCATTGCCACAATGCTTACTCCATCATCATTTCAGGGCTGTGGAATGGATATGAACATGTTTCTTGCAAGCTCCGCATTTGTTGGGGACTTGCCCACTGTTGAGAGGCTCCTTGATAGTGGCATAGTTCCCAATGAAACTTGTGTCTTGGCTGCTCTTTTGTCATTGGGAGACAATGAAAACGTTTTAAGGAAAATCCTATGCCACCATCAAGCTCCACTGCTTGATGCGAACATGCTGTTGTTTTCTTTGAAATTTGCTGTGCATTGTAACAGAGTGAACACACTGAAAGTTATCATGAAGAGTATTGTGAACCATCAAGCAAAGGAGAAAATGGTTGACATTGTTGCCAAATTATTTTTTGTTCAGATGTCAGCTGTACATGGATGTGTGCCTTTAAATTTGCCTGTGACAGTAGCCAGTGAACATGAACACAAATCTTCTGTTGACACATTCCATGTGCTTGTTGCTGCAGATGCAGCATTAGACTTTGCAAAATGCTTAAGCTTTGTAAGCCAGACTACAGACATTGAGTTATTAGAGAGTATCACATGTGAAATACGGAAAAGAGAGAACGGGTCACTACAGTATCAAATATTTTATGACAGACATAATGATTTAGAAACAGATTGTTCTGCAACTTCAAGTCCTGCAACATGTCCTGAATTTCATCTCAAGTCACTGATCAATTCAAAGGACAAATATGGTTGCACGCCACTCCACAATGCAGCTTATGAGAGCTCAGCAGAATGTGTCCTGTTTCTCTTGGACAATGGCGCAAATCCAAACTCAGAGACGATCACACTGGAAACACCGTTACACGAAGCTTCTCGCACCAAGAAAGATCGTTTGTCAAAAATGCAGTCCCTTTTTGATGCAGGTGCCGATGTAAATGCAGCGGACATAGGTGGTTGCACACCACTACATTCACTGGCGCTGAAAGGCAACTTGGCAGAATTTCAGTACCTTTTACTAAAAGGTGCAAAAATGAATGCTGATAGTCTAGGCCAGACCCCTCTACACCGTGCAGCAAGTGCATATACAGTTGACAATACTGTAATTCAGCTCCTGGTGGAGAATATAGGTGACATAAATCATAGTGATTATTATGGTTGTACACCATTGATCTACATTGCTGGGAAGGGTTCTTTTGCAACGCTGAAACATGCCATAGAAAAGGGGGCTGATGTTAAGGCTAAAACGAGAATGGGGAAGACAGCATTACATGAGTCAGTTTTGTCCTCCATTGAATCAGTTCATAAGGCAGAGTTACTCTTACAGCAAGGTTGTGGTATCAATGAAATCAGTGAGGAGGGGTTCACTCCGTTACTCTGCGCTGCCCAGAAAGGTACCTTTGATTCACTGAAGCTACTCGTAGATAACCAAAGTGATGTTTCTGTGAAAGACAACCAAGGGCAGACTGCGCTACATCTTATACCTTATTACTCAATAGATGAGGCAAAGAAAATCAGCTACCTTTTAAAGGCTGGAGCTGACATTAATGCTGTAGATGACAAGGGGGCTACTCCCTTGCATGTTGCAGCTGCTGAAGGTTGTTTAGCATCCGTTGAGCCCCTTATCAAGTACAAAGCTGATATTAACTCACGTGATACTGATGGACTCACTGTTCTGCACAGGGCTGCACAATCTCTCACAGACTCGGAGGCGATCATTGAGCTCTTGATTGCTAAAGGGGCTAATGTCAACATGAGAGATAACTCTGGGTTGACAGCTTTGTGCCATGCAGCAGAACATGGAACTTTGAACAGTTTACAGATTTTGGTGGCAAATGGAGCAGACATGTTTGTTAGGAGTTCCACTGGAGAGACAGTGTTACACATGGCGGTTAAGAAATACCACATGCCTTTAGAAAAAGTAGAATTCTTAATGGAAAGGGGTGTCAACGTGAACCTTTTGGATTGTTCCGGAACAAGCCCTCTGCATTATGCAGCTCTTGAGACATCTTACGAAACAGTTAAGTTCCTTGTTGAAAAAGGAGCAAACATCCAGTGTGCTAATGACAGTGGAACAACTCCACTTCACAACGCCGTAGAGTCAACGATTAACCTAAAGCAAAAGGTTGAGTTCTTGATCAAACATGGAGCTGATGTATTCGCAGCGGACAAGAACGGTGACACTCCTTTGCACGTTGCTACAGACGGCAGCTTTGAACTGTTGGAACTGCTTATAGTTGATCTGAACATAGATATTTCAAATACTGACAAACAAGGAAATACTTTGTTGTACAGAGCGGCCATGTCTAGCCATGATATCAAGTCGAAGACATTACTGTTACTCAACAAAGGAGCAGACATCAATGCTACAGGCAAACATGGATGGAGCTTGATACACTGGGCCATTTGTTTGGGGAGCGGAGAGGACCTGACAAAGCTTCTAGAAAGAGGTGCCTGTGCATCAAGTATAGATGAGGATGGGTCGAGTCTCCTTCACAAGGCAGTCAAATCCAAAACAGACGCCTTGATAAAGGTCAAGCTGTTGCTGAAGAAGGGTTTATCACCAAACCAATTAGACGGAAAAGGTTGCACACCGCTGCATATTGCAGCCAAAGAAGGTCTGTTTCAAGTATATGATGTAATGATGATCCCCGATGATAAAGGTTGTTCTGTGAATGTGGAGGACTACAAGGGACACACCCCAATGAATGATGCATCTGTGGCTGGGGATACTGACTGTGTGAAGTATCTTGCTCAGAGAGGTGCAACAGGTCGGGATGAGGATGCAGGTGGAGGTTTAGCCTAATGGTTAAAGCTTTCGCGGGTTCTATTTCCCACGTGGATTCAGTGTGTAAAACCCATTAATATAGAAATTGTAAAGTAGCTAAATCTAAAAAACTCACTAGTTATGAAGGGGCGGTCGGGTAGCCTAGTGGTTAAAGCGTTCGCTCGTCACGCCGAAGACCCAAGTTCGATTCCCGACATGGGTACAATGTGTGAAGCCCATTTCTGGTGTCCCCCGCCGTGATATTGCTGGAATATTGCTAAAAGCGGCGTAAAATCATACTCACTCACTCACTCACTCACTAGTTATGAACATACAATACAGCGTTATTGATGTCACATTCTTTAAGTAAACAATGAAATCTGTTTCATTTGGAAACTGTCTTTCTAAGAGTGAAGGGGGGCACGGGTGGTCTAGTCGTCTAAGGCGCCGCGATTCAGAGCAGAGTTGTATCCCTTGGGCACGCCAGAAACCTATGATTGTGGGTTCGAATCCCGCTTCGCCCCGATTATGTTTCTAGGTTTGTCAGCACCATACCCGTGCTCGTGGGTTTCACCGAAGAGGTAAACGTCTGAGACCTGCATCACTTCGAGCTGTCCTCCCACATTAAGCTGACACGCCGTGATATAACTGGAATACTGTTAAACCCAACTCACTCACTCACACACTCCAAGGGTGAAAACTTAATAGTGAGTGATATAACGTTGATATCCTTCTATCTGTATTGCTATTATAATGCCATTCAGAAATATGACAACATTTAAGCCCACTACCCAGTACAAAATAAACAACTTCCTACGCCAGTTAAAAATCTTGAGTATTCTTACGGGGTTTGTTGTACAGATGAACTCAATCTGCTTGTACTAGTCCGGACTAGTGCCGTGTTTATAGTGCTAGCCCACTGAGAAACCGACCGCCTCCGTGGTCTAATGGAAGAGCGTCCGCCCGGAGAGCGAAAGGTCCGGGGTTCGATCCCAAGCCGCGTCATACCAAAAGACGTTAAAAGATGGTACTTGTTGTTACCCTGTCTGGCGCTCGGCATTAAGGGGCTAAAACATGGACTGGTCGGCTCAGAGTCAGTATACTGTGTCTGAGTGGGGAATTCATGTTAAACTGCGGCATTGTATCTCAGTGTGCTAGCACTATAAATCGGCATCAGTCCGGACTAGTACAAGCAGCAACACACACACATATACACGTGCATGCACGTCGCTATATAAGTGCAATAATCTTGGACGCGACGTTAAACCCCATTTCACCTCACCTCACTGAGAAACCATTCCACAGTTTAACCTGAATAACTCACTCAGATACAATACACAAGCGCCAGACAGGGTAACAACAAGTACAATCTTTCAGCGTCTTTTCGTATCGGGATCGAACTCCCGACCTTCCGCTCTCCGGGCAGATGCTATATCCACTAGACCACGGAGATCAATTAAGATGCAGAATGGCCCAGTCGTCTAAGGCGCCGCGATTCGCTGTGCAGAGTTGCGTCCCTTGGGCACGCCAGGAACCTATGATTGTGGGTTCGAATCCCGGTTCGCCCCGATTATGTTTCTAGGTTTGTCAGCACCATACCCGTGCTCGTTGGTTTCACCGAAGTGGTAAACGTCTGAGGCCTGCATCACTTCGGGCTTTCCTCCCACATAAAGCTGACACGCCGTGATATAACTGGAATACTGTTAAAAGCGGCGTTAAACCCAACTCACTCACTCACTCACTCACTCACTAAGATGCAGAACTATTCTCTACACATACAAACTTTAGTGCAGATGTAACATTACTTAATACTGAACACAATTCACTCGCACGGGGAAAAAACTAAACTTACAATGCAGGTGAGGTGAGGTCAAATGAAGTTTAAGGTTGGGTCCAAGATTATTGCACTTATAAAACGACGTGTATATGCACGTGTGTGTGTTTGGCTGCTTGTACTAGTCCGGACAGATGCCGATTTATAGTGCTAGCCCACTGAGAAAACCTAACATCATTATCACGAATACCCCATTTGGACACAGTATAATGCCTCCGAGGTGAGGTGAGGTGAAATGGGGTTTAATGTCGCGTCCAAGATTATTGCACTTATAGAGCGACGTGCAAGTACGTGTGTGTGTTTGTGTGGCTGCTTGTACTAGTCCGGACTGGTGCCGATTTATAGTGCTAACTCAAGGAGATACCATGCCGCAGTTTAACATGAATACCCCACTCAGACACAGTATACTGACTCCGAGCCGACCAGTCCTTGTTTTAGCCCCTTAATGCCGAGCGCCAGACAGGGTAACAACAAGTACCATCTTTTAACGTCTTTTGGTATGACGCGGTCGGGGATCGAACCCCGGATCTTCCGCTTTCCGGGCGGACGCTCTACCAGTACACCACAGAGCACAATGCAAGTGCTAACTATTCTCATTAAACAACACTTGATTGTTTTGTGGATATTGCTCTAGTTTTATTTGTACTTCTGTTTGTCGGCGACACAGCTCTTTTGGTCCCGACACGTAAAGACCTACAGAAATCACTTACCGTATTCGACGTAATACGCGCCCCGTTCTAATAAGCACCCACGGCGATATTTGCTAATATATTGACTGGTGTGAACAAGCCCAATCAGCACCCCTTCCGATTGATCAATGTACACAAGACTTATTTATTCGGTATAATACGCACTCGTGTGTTATATGCACCCTTATTTATGGGCCATTAAATTCTGGAAAATATATCTGTCGTACATAAACATTTCAGGCTGTCAGCATAAACCACGAAATTTATCTTTCAGCTATGTTTCTTTTTCACCAAAATAATATTCTAATAAAAGCCCCCTATTTCTAATTTTGAGGGCGCCCTGGGCGCTTATTACGTCGAATACGGTATTGTTTTGAAACTTATTATAAATTGTTGAAACTAACTGTAAACACGGACAAAACGAAGGGCCTTATTTTCGATGGTGCTAAAATTGACGAAAGAAGGAAATATATTTTGAATGAAAATTATTAAAATTTTGTGGATGAATATAATTATCTTGATTTTTATTTCCAAAGCAATTATAATATTTCTAAATCTGTTAAAACTATGTATGACCAAGCAACGAAAGCAACGTATTTTTGGCACGTTTACACAATCTCTCTTTAAAATTCCATCTCTATCTCTTTGATGCTATGCTAAAACAAACACTACTGTATTGTTGTGAAATTTGGGGTTGTGATCATTGTAAAGTAATTGAAAAGGTTCATGTACGGTTTCTCAGACAATTATTACCGGTAAAGAAAAGCACACCTTTAACAATGCTCTAAGGAGAACTCGGTAGAACCCCCCTTTGTCTGGATGTTAAGTTAAGAATGTTAAATTTCTGGTCGACGCTTATGTCAGTCATATATAGCAAGCTATCGTTTGTATTGTATTCAGTCTTGTAAAGAGACTCAATTGTAAATCAACGGACTTAAAAATCGTTGTCTTTTATTAAACATATTTTGATGAAAATAAAATGAATTAGGTATTTCCTACGGAAGCCTTTTAGGCCCTTTGTTTTTTTATTTTATTTCGATACTATCTTGAAATTTCAAGAAACTAAGTTGAAATTTCAAGATACTATCTTGAAATTTCAAGATATTAAGTTGAAATTTCAAGATACTATCGAAATTTTTTTCTCTATGTTTGGATTTCACAGAGTTTTATACCATCCTCCTGGTTGAAATCATAAGTCTCCAAAACTCTCTCTGACGCATATTGGCAATCTTGGAAAGCGGATATTTCAAATTCTAGTAAATGCTCCACATATCGTATTTTTAAAATCGCGAATAAACTTGAAACATATATTTGATAAACATTCCTCCCCACGTATCTTTTAAATTGCTATTCTCCAGGACATCTTGTCACCGCCTGCCAATAGAAAGCGGAAGATGGAATAAAACTCCGTTGAATTAACGTTTATGCAAGTTGCGTGACAGTTTTGAATGGACATATATATATATCTCTGTGTGTATGTGTGTGTGTGTGTGTGTGTGTGTGTGTGTGTGTTATTATATTTTCTCTTTACTTGTATATAATTCCTATGCACTGTACATTTATTCTGCACTATTATTATTCAAATATTACAATATAATGAAATTGTACAAAGGAGAAGGCCTCGTAAAGTGTGTCCCTTTAACCTTATCCATTTGATTTTCCGCAATAAAATATGTTTAAATTATATCAAATAGTTTTGACATTGGAGATGAATTCCACATTGTCTTCAAATGTAAATATTTCAATGAACAAAGAGACATGAACATCCCAAAACACTATTCAAAAAGGCCAAACATGTTACAACTCCAGCAATTATTAAACGGCCTTAATATCTCTGTCCAAAAGAAACTATGTAAATTTATTAACATTTTAATAAAAATTGTAAAAACTCCCCGTAAACCTCTGTCCACCACAGTAAAATACTGTTTGAACTTCATAGAGAATTACTGTTCTGTTCTGTCAATACGGCACCAAGGGGTCGCGTCATTTTTCGGAACGATAAATACTTTCTGTTTAACAAAATGCATGGAATTTGTTTATGCATTAATGCTTCATAAAAAATAACATTGTACACAGTTACACTTTGGGAAAGTCAAATTTTGTTGGACGTTTGTAGCGACCAGAACTGGGATACGACCAGAACTGGGATAAACAGTCCACAATTTCGCAAAACCCCATTTACTGCGGTAATGCTTTCGGTTAGCTCTAAAACACATGGCGATATATATGCGGAATATGATTTAGTTTATATTTTGGGTGGGACCGTACTGAATATGATCTTCTGTATATTTCCATGTCCCATTCCAAATAAATAACGCACATTAAATTCTTCACTATAAATTCGAAACATCTTCAGGTATTATTATTATTTTGTTATTTTGTACTTGACAAATATTCACACGCCTTTCTGTGCGCAATTCACATTTATGCACAAATGTCAGTGTCTGTGCGATATTTCTTTTAACAAATTATGTTATAATTAGATCAATAATTGAAATCAAGGATGTGTTTCTACATCACATTGTGGTCACAATAGTATATAGAATGGAATGGAATCGTCCATATTAAAAAAGTAAAGGCGGTGCTTGAGGGGTTTCTGAAATATTTCGGATTGTGGCCGTTAAATAAAAGAGCCTCGACACATTATGCATTCCATTTAGATTTTGTTTTGTTTGTAACTGTAAACAATTTTCCGTATTCTGTTGTTTGTGGCCCAAATTAACGTGCGTTCTCCTCCAATCCCACGATGTGAATAGAAATGCAAAACATGTATCCTCATTAATTTATTTAATGTAACTGTGCTGAAGGGAATCCTTGTAATTCACACATGAGTAGATGTGAGAAATCATATTTATATAATTTCAAAACAATTATTTCACTTGCCTCTGCATTTAGACAAGCTCTTTCCACTTCTTTAATTAGTTCGATGGGTTAATTGTATATGGTTTGCCAGAAGATTGAGGCGAAAATTACACAAGATGAAAGTGTTTTAT